GTTCTTTTTCCTGTTTGGTGCGATTGCAATTGCGGATCTTGACCTGGCCGGACCGGAGCGGAGCAAAAAATAGCTCGGCTCCGTAATTTGTCGGTGACGGACGGAGAAGACGTACGTGGACGGAGACGTGCGGAGGAGTAGCGGTGGATGTGGAACAGCTCTCATTGATTTCCATGAAAGACAAGCGCTCCGCACGACGTACGTCAGCGGGGCGGAGCGGAGCGGAGCGCTGACGGAGTATGTGGAATCTGGGGGTTACGGGAAAGCACGTATCGTTCCTTTTCTTGTCCTGCTGCCGTGGGGCGCCTCCTCCCTCCCAACCCCGTTCTCCCCCACTATGTGTGCTGTGTGCATTCTTCTTCCCTTTGCCACATCATATCTCTGTGAGATGGGCTTTTCAGCTGCTGCTTCACTGAAAACAAAGCATGACTTGAGAGTGGCAGTATCAAGCCTGCAACCCCGTTTTGAGAAACTGTGCAATGCAAAACAGGCTCATTGAAGCCACTAATGCAGGGATAAATAGACCTGTATTGCCAGATGGATTTCACTTATTTTCTTTTATTAACAGATTGCAGAGTGGCACATTAATTTTTTCTATCTTTGAGCTTGATACAAATTTTGACACAGCTGCATTTTTATTTTCTTTATTTTTGAGCTTGCTGTTATTTGATGTAGATAGTTTGTATTTAGATACTACTTGTTACTTCAATAAAATTGGAACATTTTAAGATTGTTTCATATTTCATTAGCATTGTGTTGGGGCGATGGGGACAGGCGGGGCTTGAAAATTCCCCCTTGTCCAAAGTGGGGAATGACAGAAAAAGTTTGAGAACCACTGTCCTAACCCAAACTATCCCTACCTAATCCTAACCCAAACTATTCCTACTAATCCTAACCTAAACTATTCCTACCTTATCCTAACCCTAACCCTAACCCTAACCCTAACCCTAACCCTAACCCAAACTATTCCTACTAATCATAACCTAAACTATTCCTACCTTATCCTAACCTAAACTATTCCTACCTAATCCTAACCCAAACTATTCCTACCTAATCCTAACCTAAACCATTCCTACCTAATCCTAACCCAAACTATTCCTACCTAATCCTAACCCAAACTATTCCTACCTAATCCTAACCCAAACTATTCCTACCTAATCCTAACCCAAACTATTCCTACCTAATCCTAACCTAAACTATTCCTACCTAATCCTAACCCAAACTATCCCTACCTAATCCTAACCTAAACTATTCCTACCTAATCCTAACCCAAACCGTACCCAAACAGCTTAAATTCTACCTGGTCGCCGGCGCCGTTTTCATGTTTCCAGACTAAAGAAAATTACAACAGTCCAATTTTAACCAACATAAAGATGTTAGACATCGTTACAAAACTTAGATTCTTAGATTATATTCTTAGATTCGTCCGTAAGGCTCCACAGATTAAAATTAAGCCAGCATATTCATAATAGAAACCTTCCAAGATGAGAAAATCAATACAGAAATTAGTTTTTGTTACCATCAGAGATGTTTAATCCTTACAGCTAATGCTAACCGGCGTGCTAATGACCATAGCTAAACACTGGTGTATCTGGGTGTGTTTGTTTTCCTCACTTTCTAACCATTAAAACTAAATTATTCCTGCCCGCCCCGTTTAGAGAATTGACGCCATGACAGGCCTGGAAGAGTCAAAGCGCTCCCTCTCAGCTTCCGTAGTTACGCAGACTTCCCCTCCTAAAGTCCGCCTGCTATTGGTTATGGTCACACGCCATGTTTGGCTCCCTGACCAATGAAACGACCTTTAAAACACGGCTAAACATGGCGGATTAGAACAGTGCATTCCAGCTGAACAGCCGGGTGTAAACGGCGCCGAGGCGAATCCCGTCCCGGTTAGATAATCAGATGGACGGTTAGAAAAATGGAAAAATATTTGCTTCAAAAATGTTTTGTGGCCATCAAAACGCTCCAGCGTGATTCTGGAGGTAAAATAGTGTAAAAGCTAAAAGAGATTACGGAAGAGGATTAGAGCCACTAAAAAAATAAAAGAAAGTTAACTGATTTTTTAATTGTATTTCAGTATAATCTGAGAAAAACCTCAGAGTTCTGAGATTTTTCTCATTTTGAAATAAAATGTAAAAATCTTAACCCTTTTTAGGAGATGCCAATGACTCCAGAAGTTAAAGTTCCCATTTCTCTAGAACTGTTATACCTAGAAGTCTGAAATTTTCTGCCGTTGTTGACATGATGTTGAACAAATGTAAAATAACGACACACGCCTATTTTAAAACATGTCTCTGCTATTCAATAAAAAGCTATTATTTTTGAGAAGAAAAAAACATCTTGGACTCATGGTTGAACTGATGCAGTTTGGACTGTTTTACTCAGATCTTCAGAATCTAGAAGCCGTTATCTTTAAAATGATGGATCACAGATGAAATTTGGGCTCACAGTTCCTCAGTTATTGGCTTTTCCATTTGTGTATGCAAAAGGCCATGGTTACCTTAAATTAGGTGGAAGTTAAGTTAAACCTAAGCCGACCTAACCCTTAACGCAAACCCCTGAGCCCTCACATTTCGGAGCGAATGTTTCGTTTCCCGGAGGGTTTGAACCTGCGCTGCACGTCTCGCCTTGCAGACACCAGCATCATTTAACCAAACGAATGATCATCAGAAAGCAGAGTGGTCTGCTTGGGATCTGCAGCTCTCTGGGTCTGTTTATCAAATCTCCGCCTTCCAAAGGTTTAGATGAGTCCTGAGCTACATGTGAAGATGCTAACTCATCCAGAACAGAGGCTCTTCCTGCAGAGTTGAACTTTTCCTCCAGTTGACCTTCCCTGGTGTCGCCCGGAGGCTGCGCTGCTTATTTACGCTGCAGCCCGCATGCTAACACACATTAGCATATAAACGCATTAGCTGATGAGCGCCGACCTTAATCCAACCTTTTAATACGTCTGAAACAACCTTACATTCTGACTAATCCTCTCCTCTGCAGATGAATTTAGGAAACAAACTGTCCTGCATATTTAATTATGATTTATTCAGGAAACACTGGGTTTCATTTGGAGGGAAAAATCACCAGATCAAAGAAATTAGACGCTTCCAAATGTGTAAAATGAGGAACAGTGAGGCGGGGGGGGGGGGGGAACTATTCTCTGCTTGTTTTTACCATTTTGTTATAAATCAGATCTAATAACACCTGGAAGTTCCTCAGACAGCAGGAGGTTAATCTGCTGCTCAGGTCCAACAGAACAGGTTGTTTCTGGGATGTTATCAACCTTTCATTCAACCATCAAACGTTCCTGCAGAAGTGAAGTAAAATCTAAACTCCTGGTTTATGTTCAGAATCTTCCCTGCAGGGATAAATGAAAATGATTATTGTGATGAATATCTGGAAAATGATCACAACCAGTGAGAGAGGATGATTGACAGGCAGTAAAACGACAGAAATGATCCATCGGCTTCCTGTTAAATCTAGAATAGAATTTAAAATCCTCCTTCTCACATATAAAGCCTTAAATGGCCAAGCTCCATCTGATATCAGAGATCTGATTGTTCCTTATGTTCCTAACAGAGCACTTCGCTCTCAATCTGCAGGTTTACTAGTGGTTCCTAGAATTTCTAAAAGTAGAATGGGAGGCAGATCTTTTAGTTCTCAGGCTCCTCTCCTGTGGAACCAACTACCAGTTTTAGTCCGTGAGGCAGACACCCTGTCTACTTTTAAGGCTAGGCTTAAAACTTTCATTTTTGATAAAGCTTCTAGTTAGAGTGGCTCAGGTTATCCTGATCTATCTCTATAGTTCTGCTGCTATAGGCTTAGACTTTTGGAGGACATAGGGACCCCCATTTCATCATTCTGCTTCATTCTATCTCTATTCTCCCACTCTGCAGAATCTGTTAGTTCAATCTCTAACGTTCTGCTCTCTCTGCTTTTTCTCATAGTAGCTTCATCTGGTCTGTTCCTGTTTGGCTGTGACTCCATCCTGGAGAGAAATATCAGCTGTGCTGCTGCCATCAACACCTTTGTTTCTAGATGTTGGAGCTTGGCCTGTTTTCCAGTGTAGTCCTGTTTCTCTGACTGTGACTAACTGGATGTGCTCTCTTCATCCTCTGACATGGGAGCTGGCTCGGAGCTCGTCTGCCTGGCTGTGTGTTTCCTGGACGGGGCCGCCTGTGGAGCTGGTTGACAGTTGCCTTTTGTATCTATGCTTCTTTTTCTATGTCTGCTTCTGTCTCCTTGAACCCCAGTGGGCCTCAGCAGATGGCCGCTCACACTGAGCCTGGTTCTGCTGGAGGTTTCTTCCTGTTCAAAGGGAGTTTTTCCTCTCCACTGTCGCTACAAGCATGCTTAGTGTGAGGGATTGCTGAAGAGTCAATGAGTCGATGCAATCAGCTGGTTTTCCTTAGATAGAAAACTTTGATTAAGTATTTATTAAACTGGTCCATTATATTTTTAGGTTTGTGGCGCCATATTGGATCGTACAAAACAAAGATTTATGTACAAAAACTAAACCTTTACATCAAATTATGTTTCTATTAAGTGTTTTTAAAATGTTTTTTGTAGTTGGCATTTATATTCTTATATGTTGGTGTGATAATTTGTATATATATATATATGTTTAATTGGTTTTTGGTAAACATCTATCTATAGCCCCCCCTTGAGGAAAACTCCAGCAGCCTCACTGGTTCAGACTTTCTGCTCTTATAGTTCAGCTTATATATTTTCTTCTTCTATTTTCTATTAATCATCCCTCATTAAAATGATTTTTAATCATAAGAATTAATAAGAATTAAACATTTCTGAACGCCCAGATGGGGGCGCTGTTTCATTTTGTTGTAATTCATGTCTACCGGAATACAGGAAAAAAATTTTAAATAAAAATTTTTTTATAATCTTTCTCTGAATTTATGCAGGAGAGAAACCTCCTGTGAACAGAAAGTTCTTCTTTAGAAGAAGAAGAAGTCAGGTTGGGCTCCAGGCTCTCTGGCCCACAGGATGCTGCCCCCGGTGTGTGGAGGACTCACCGCACATTGCCGTTGTAGATGTTGAAGGTCAGACAAACGATACCGAGCAGGATGCCGAGCCCGGCGAAGACCGACACGGCTGCAAAGAGCTTCTGGGACAGGAGCCTGTATTCCTCCCGAACCACGGTCCGGTCCGCCGGGGGTTTATCACCTGGACAGGAAGAAGAAGCAGGAAAAGTCTCGGCTTTGTTCTTAGGATGATGAGATCAAATTTGAAACCAGGGTGACAAAAAGTTGTCTCAATATCTTCAGAGACAGCAGAGGGCCTGCCCCTGATTCCCCTGACCTGCCACAACGGCAAAGTGGCTGCCAGACAGCCTGCCACTGAATAACCTGACCTGCCACAGATGCAGGTACCAGACAGCCATTTTGAATGGCAGCCACGCTGCAGCAGATTCCTGCCATAAAAGGACTTTTGAGGGTAGAGTTAAATTCGTATGAACAACAGGGAACAAACTGAAACCCTTCAGGCCAGGCAGAATGGGGAGGGAAAGTACGATGACAGCTCTGTAGCCAACTTTTAACGTTTTTTAAAAGAAAAAATGACCATGACAAATTCTGTTCTGTCATCATTGATGCCCCAAATCTCAAGGTTTTTGCAAGAACAATAATTACTCTTCATGGCAGGTTTGTCAATGATAAAATGATCGCAGCCAATGTAACTGCAAACACTTTATGTGTCTACATGGCATCTTCATGGCATCCTGCAGCATCTTCATGGCATCCTGCAGCATCTTCATGGCATCCTGCAGCATCTTCTGGCATCCTAACCTCTGGCATCATAACTTTTTAATCAAATCATTTAAAATGTTTATTCAAGAATGTTAAAATAGCACATCATTAATTGAGTAAATATAGATCAGGCATTAAATAAGCCTAAAATCAAACCGTTTGCCCGTAAACAGCAATAGAAGTCCGGCTGGTGGCCTGCTGGTTTACTGTCACCTTTTCGCAGCGGCGTGCCACTGTAGCTGCCACCATGTGCAAGAGGAGCTGCCACCATGCGCCACTGCAGCTGCCTGCATGTGCCACTGCAGCTGCCAGCATGCGCCACTGCAGCTGCCTGCATGTGCCATTGCAGCTGCCAACATGCGCCACTGCAGCTGCCACCATGCGCCACTGCAGCTGCCACCATGCGCCACTGCAGCTGCCTGCATGCGCCACTGCAGCTGCCACCATGCGCCACTGCAGCTGCCTGCATGTGCCACTGCAGCTGCCAACATGCACCACTGCAGCTGCCACCATGTGCCACTGCAGCTGCCACCATGTACCACTGCAGCTGCCACCATGTGCCAGAGGAGCTGCCACCATGTGCCACTGCAGCTGCCACCATGCGCCACTGCAGCTGCCACCATGTACCACTGCAGCTGCCACCATGTGCCACTGCAGCTGCCAACATGCGCCACTGCAGCTGCCACCATGCGCCACTGCAGCTGCCACCATGCGCCACTGCAGCTGCCTGCATGTGGCACTGCAGCTGCCACTATGCGCCACTGCAGCTGCCTGCATGTGCCACTGCAGCTGCCAACATGCACCACTGCAGCTGCCACCATGTGCCACTGCAGCTGCCACCATGTACCACTGCAGCTGCCACCATGTGCCAGAGGAGCTGCCACCATGTGCCACTGCAGCTGCCACCATGTACCACTGCAGCTGCCACAATGTGCCACTGCAGCTGCCACCATGCACCACTACAGCTGCCACCATGCACCACTGCAGCTGCCACCATGCGCCACTGCAGCTGCCACCATGTGCCACTGCAGCTGCCACCATGCGCCAGAGGAGCTGCCACCATGTGCCACTGCAGCTGCCACCATGCGCCAGAGGAGCTGCCACCATGCGCCACTGCAGCTGCCACCATGCGCCAGAGGAGCTGCCACCATGCGCCACTGCAGCTGCCACCATGTGCCACTGCAGCTGCCACCATGTGCCACTGCAGCTGCCACCATGTGCCACGGCAGCTGCCACCATGCGCCACTGCAGCTGCCACCAGCTGCCACCATGCGCCACTGCAGCTGCCACCATGCGCCACTGCAGCTGCCACCATGTAGCCCTGCACCTGCCACCATGTGCCACTGCAGCTGCCACCATGCGCCACTGCAGCTGCCACCATGTGCCAGAGGAGCTGCCACCATGCGCCACTGCAGCTGCCACCATGCACCACTGCAGCTGCCACCATGTACCACTGCAGCTGCCACCATGTGCCACTGCAGCTGCCAACATGCGCCACTGCAGCTGCCACCATGCGCCACTGCAGCTGCCACCATGCGCCACTGCAGCTGCCTGCATGTGGCACTGCAGCTGCCACCATGCGCCACTGCAGCTGCCTGCATGTGCCACTGCAGCTGCCAACATGCGCCACTGCAGCTGCCACCATGTGCCACTGCAGCTGCCACCATGTGCCACTGCAGCTGCCACCATGTGCCACTGCAGCTGCCACCATGTACCACTGCAGCTGCCACCATGTGCCAGAGGAGCTGCCACCATGTGCCACTGCAGCTGCCACCATGCACCACTGCAGCTGCCACCATGCGCCACTGCAGCTGCCACCATGCGCCACTGCAGCTGCCACCATGTGCCACTGCAGCTGCCACCATGCGCCAGAGGAGCTGCCACCATGTGCCACTGCAGCTGCCACCATGCGCCACTGCAGCTGCCACCATGCGCCAGAGGAGCTGCCACCATGTGCCACTGCAGCTGCCACCATGTGCCAGAGGAGCTGCCACCATGTGCCACTGCAGCTGCCACCATGTGCCAGAGGAGCTGCCATTAGGTGGACTGCTGCTGTTGCAACACTTTGTAGCAGGAGGCTGAGAAAAGTTACAAAATCTTTTATTGGAAATAATATAATTAAAATATGATTATTTGGAAATAGTTATCGACTAACAGGTGTCTATAGCTAACAGCTGCTGCCAGTGTGGATTGTTAGCACGGACGGTTGGGATGGACTGTTAGGACGGATTGTTAGCACAGACTGTTACAATGACTCGTTAGCATACATAGTTAGAATGAATAGTTAGCATGGACTATTAGCGTAGATTGTTAGCATGGACCATTAGCATGGATTGTTAGCATGGACCATTAGCGTAGATTGTTAGCACAGACTGTTACAATGACTCATTAGCATACATAGTTAGAATGAATAGTTAGCATGGACTATTAGCATAGATTGTTAGCATGGACCATTAGCATGGATTGTTAGCATGGACTATTAGCGTAGATTGTTAGCATGGACCATTAGCATGGATTGTTAGCATGGACCATTAGCGTAGATTGTTAGCACAGACTGTTAGAATGACTCGTTAGCATACATAGTTAGAATTAAGTGTTAGCATGGACTGTTAGAATGAATCGTTAGCATATATAGTTAGAATGAAGTGTTAGCATGGACTGTTAGAATGAATCGTTAGAATACGTAGTTAGAATTAAGTGCTAGCATGAAATGTTAGAATGAATAGTTAGCATGGACTATTAGCGTGGATTGTTAGCATGGATCATTAGCATGGATTGTTAGCATGGACTATTAGCGGGATTGTTAGCATGGACTATTAGCGTGGATTGTTAGCATGGACTATTAGCATGGATTGTTAGCATGGACTATTAGCATGGATTGTTAGCATGGACCATTAGCGTGGATTGTTAGCATGAACTATTAGCATGGATTGTTAGCATGGACCATTAGAGTGGATTGTTAGCATGGACTATCAGTGTGGATTGCTAGCAGCGACTATTAGCATGGATTGTTAGCATGGACCATTAGAGTGGATTGTTAGCATGGACCATTAGAGTAGATTGTTAGCATGGATTATAAGTGTGGATTGTTAGCATGGACCATTAGCATGGATTGTTAGCATGGATTATAAGTGTGGATTGTTAGCATGGACCATTAGCATGGATTGTTAGCATGGACCATTAGCATGGATTGTTAGCATGGACCATTAGCGTGGATTGTTAGCGCAGTAAACAGCAAGAGATCAGAGCACCAGAGCAGGGAGAGGCAGCGGTTGCTACAAAGCTAACACTGTTTATCTCCAAAAAAGCTTCTTCACTTCATCCTTTAGCACTGAGCTCTATTCTGATTAAAAAAGCTTCGTCTCTGCTGCGCTCCCTCGCCTTCCCTGATTGGTCAACAGGACAGAACCCGACAGAAAGCTGAAATTCCTTTCAGGCCTCCTGCCACTAGAGGGTGCTGCTGCTGTTGGTGAGACGTATCGTGTTCACTTCCTGCTCTGACTGCTGAGCAGCGTTGTTGCTCTGCGTCTGAATTAAGACTTTTTTCTTTGACATTTCTGGATCTCAGTAACTAACTGTCCAGAATTAAAACATAGCGCCTTCTGCTGCACTTCTCTACTGAGCAGTTGTCGGTTTTATTTCTGGTAGTAAGGAGTAGCTAGCCTAGGCTAGCGCTAGCTTAAATCCATAAGACTCTCAGCATCGTGTTAGCTTAGCTAGAAACAGCCGTGCTGCAAAAGGAGAAAAAAGGGAAATATTGATGCTGATGATGAAGAGTGATGAAATTTTTCAGTTCCAACTAAATCTGCATGAAAGGATTCCTAAAGTTAACGGAAATAATTGACATTCAGATGTTTTAACCTGTAAACATTTTGGGTTTCTTTGCTTTTTATGAAACAAATGTCCTGATTTCCACCCTTCTCCAGATCCAGGCAGTCAGAGGTTGATCATGGGGCCCTTAGAGCAGAGCAGCGCTCCCCTGACGGCGAGTGAAAGCCTAAATAAAACACCTGCAGCTTCAGTGGTTAAAGAGGATGTTTATTAACCACTAAATTATTCATGCTAGTGTAGCTGTACAGCAGAGGCAGGTTCAAACAGATGGACAGAGCGTCGCTCTTCACAGCCTCCGACTGTCTGCATGAATCTGGGTCTGCCTACAGATCCGTGTTCATCTGAGCACGCATGCAAATCTGCTCTAAATAAATGTGGAATGAAGCCTGAGTGCGGGTGCTGAGCAGCACAGCCGCGGGGAGGTTTCTGCATGCAGAGCGTGTGCGTGTCAGAGGGGAAGCAGAGCGCGGCGTCAGCGCTGCGTGAAGCTGATGTGTCAGATGTCAGAGGAAAGTGTCAGAGTGTCGTCCCTGCAGGGCGTCAAGACGCCCATCAGGCTCTGTTTAGATGCTTGTCACCTCCGTCACA